TGCCATTGCTGAACCCCTCTTTTGAAAATGCTAGCTGGCTGGCTGTTATTCTGAGCCAACAACTTCCTCTGATTTCACTAGCTGCATGCTTGTTCTAGATCAGTGACTCAAAATGTACTGAAGACAAACATCAGTCAGTCACTAATATTTTGCCTCCTCAGTCTCTCGGTAGATGTGTCCTTTAACTCATATAGTTTAAAACAATCTCAGGCACAATAAACACTTTGCTACACCTGTGTAGTTGAGCAAGCCTTTTTAAGAATGGCATCTTGCTTCACTATACAATCTTTTTATGCCTCAACTAAATACATTGATCTGCATAGCTTTCCTCTGAACAGTTTAAAATTATTAAACTGTTCTAAGATTTGGTCATTCAAAATCAAACGAGAGCATGCATTAAGATTTAGCCTCTGATACGTAAATATATTCAGTAATAAAGATGTATTTAAAAAATTTAAAATAATTACAGATCAGAATATGAAAAATATAACAGAAAAGGATTCGAAAGCTATATGTGCTATAGAACTGTCAGCAAATGTAAGAAGACTTTACTAGATCACTGTTCCGTGATTATGCTCTTATGATGTTTATGCTTTTACTGTATGCATACTACTTTTATTAGTGATAGATGTGCATTAGTGTTTTATGTGTATGTATTTAGTTATAGTGCAAATAAATACAAACACAACATTTTGCCAGTTTTTTCTATAAAAGTCAATGTTTTTTTCATTTCTCATGCTCATTATTATATCTCTGATGTAGTTTCTGCAATAGTTATCAGACAAAGCAGTCATTACATTACAATAGCTGCACACATCTGCATCAAGGTTGGACAAATATATATATATATATATATTACAGCTAGTTATTTCAAACGTGGAGTCGATCTTTAGCAGCTATGTGCTCAGGAGTACATACAGCACTCTAGTCCTGCCTGTTAAAGGCTACACTTGAAAATGAGTAAGAGTTGTTGCTCACTGTTTGCGGGGATCATTAAAAAGGAACTGGACAATGGAGAGCTGTACCCCAAAGAGGCAGACAAGGCACTAATCACCATATCTTGTTCTGCTCCATCTTTGTGGAGCTGGCCATCTTGGTATTGTCAAAGGTTTTGCCTATTCATGTCAGAACCTCTAGCAAGGAAAACAGTGAGCAGCACAGTAGTGATAGCACCAGATCTCACTTCAATTATCCCAAGACTAGCAGTCAGAAGCAGCAGTGCCTTAGATCTCACACTACAGATATAAAAGGTATGAGACTGCAGGCCCAGGAGTTGCCTGGACATCCTCACATACTAGTCATTGCTATTTTTCAGAAGGAATTGCAGACAAAAGGTAAATTTTCCAGGGTCCTGCTTAGGCACAATTTACATTACTAGATGTTCCCTATAGGCAAACCTTCACTTTCTTTACTTCAGATCCACCTAAACCCTACTGACAAACAAAGAGGTGCTCTCTTTGAGAAAGACATTCTTAATTAAAACTGAAAAAGCTATTTTTCGCTTGCTCATGGGATTTGTCCAACCTGATCTCTATGACAAGTATATATTATATTGGATTTGCAAAAAAAATAATAATATTATAATTATTTTCTTTTTAAAAAGCAGTATATGTTGGTTGTTAGTCCAATAAATGAATACTACATTTCTAGTTTGCATTATGTGTTACTGAAAAAAAATAATGCACAAGTTATACATATAGAGCTGGTTTAATAAAAAATAATTTTCTTTTATGTTCAGAGTAAAGGTGGCCATACACTTTACAACCATCGCAAGACCTTAGTCTTGCGATGGTTGTAAAGTAATTAAAAAAACGTACAACCTGCCCATCTTAGACAGGCAGATCGTACTTGCGATGACCGCAATGAAAAAAAAATCAGCCCCCTGACCTTGACTGTAAATTTAATATAAACACAGGTGAGTGTAAATACTGGTGCTTAGATGGACTCTATTATCATCATGAATCAAGCTTGGCAATCACATATTTTATGTAACACTTTTTAATCAGATATCGGTTTTATTTGTGTTTTGTTCTATAATTTTGTTTGTATTTCAATTCTTAGGAGCACTGCTTATCCTTTACTAGCCATCATCAATCTTGAGTAAGTACAAAGCAAGGCTAACGTACAGACTAGCGTACTAGACACTGCTGCTTGCTGTACTAAGGTGCATTGCAGTAACTCAGTGAAAATCAAGATCTGCTGTTCATAATAACCTGCCCAGCCTTCATAGAATATTACCCAGTCCTCTTCACATTCTTTCCACTCTTGGCAGTGCCCCATTCAAAGTGTTATCTACAAGTCAAGACTATTTTACTTATGAACACTTGGGACTGCCTACTAGATTCTGAAGCAGGGGTAACCATTTCATATTTGGACTAAATATCTATTTTTTCTGTAAAAATTGCAAGATGCTTACTAATGACCTGTTATGGCTTGCCATAGTGTGTTCTTATGTTTTTTGGGGGGTTTCTGTGGTGTATAGTAATATAATGGGCCTGATTTACTAAAGGATATGTATGCCTCATCATTCACAGACATCCAAATCATATCAAGGTGTTTACTATACTTCTGTAATATTTTTGAGTCTATCTAACGGCTTTTAACATTCATGAATGTGTATTACATATAGGGTTGAAAAACACATGTAAGTTTGCTCTGCTATCATTACAAGAGACAGTAAAAATATGTAAAAAGCTTTAGTGAAACATCAGTAAAGTGGTATTATATTGCCCATGTGTGTATCTTTGTGTGCATGTACCGAAGTTTATACACACCAATTGACAAAGCAGATTCCATACATCGGTGCTTCGAAAGGAGAATCTATTCATAAATAAAAATACATATGCTTTTTTTCCTATACATATGGGGTTTTTTTTCCTATGGGAGCACAGTATATGTTTTTAGACCTCCTCTTTGACTAGCACATGCATATTTAGTTCCTTAATAGGCTTTTGACATTGGTTCTTTTTTTTCTTCTTTTTTTTAGGTAAAAAGTTGAAACATGCACCACCTGTACTCTTACATTTTACCAAGTGGACAACCCAACTACACTGCCACAACACTGCTTTAGCTGTAGTAGATGTCACTGACCAGGGTTATCAAGGAACTCTGAAAATGTTGACTGGTGTGTTAGTGAGATCTTAAATGTTTAGGGCATTGAGTCTTAAAGCTGATCTGAAGGCCTTACCATTTGATGATAAGATATGCTGTTAAAGGTATTTATTAGAAGTGAATTGTAAGTATTTATACCAGAAATCACTTGCAGGGTTATTCACAAAAGGGTGAAGAGTTTGGAGAAGGCAGGAGAAGTGAACAATCTAGGACAACATAGCTGAACTGGAAAGTGAGATGAATTGGAGAATTATGTCCTATATTACTCACTTCTCCTGCCTTCTCCAAAGACTTCACCCTTTTGTGAATAACCCTGTTGGAGTTTTCTCTATTGACAACCTGTACAGGGCAGCGGTGGAATGTCTGTGGGTGCAGAATGAAACTCCAGCGAGATAAAACATTGTAGTCTCCAGCACAACCTCATCTCTTATTACATTTTCAGAGTTTGTACCATGTTTTTCTTAGTTGGCAGGGTAAACTTTTCTGAATCTCTTCCACAGGCATGCACCTGTATTATCAGTCTGCAGCCAGACAGCCTGGCAGGAGCAAATTCATAATACAAATTGAAAGCCAGTAAAAGTAAAGAGTCAAAATGGTGATGGCATATTCTGGGGAAAAAACAGTAGTCTAGCTGTGTGCCATTTTCTAGAAAGCTACAATGCAACTTTAAATGTCAGGTCTTTGGAATAAGCTGGTCAACAATCTTATATTTGCAGGTGTCCCTCCAGGCAGTTGCCTGTTTTCAGGGGCAATGGCCAATCAGTCGACTTAGAAACCTGATCAACGTTTCCCGGTGATATGCCAAAGCTTTCTTCTCAATAAAGTCCCTTCTGAACCATGCTGAGCTTTCAGGTATATGTGACTTTTCTTCTTCTCTAGTTGCCTTAGAACATTCAGACTGTATCTACACATCTGGCTATCCTCTTTATTCAATGGGCTGTCTTGGGGGTATATGGGCAGCAGTAAGGCAGTTATCATGTCTAGGTCATAAGTAAGCACAGCATTATGCAAAAATACATGTGGCCATAAGCAAGCCAAATATACATGTTTATATTTTGTGATGTGTGAATTATTAGCATTACATTAAAATGCACACAGGCATGAACAAGCAAATATACATTTTATGATACATTTTTATGTTTAGTGTTGTGAGGGTGTATAGTGTCTCTTTCATTAAATCTTTCCCTTAGTGTGTGCATAATATCCAGACTGTTAATTGCAAAAATGAATTGGCAGTTTTACATTACACAGCTATAGTTAATAACAAATAAGGGGCAATTTCAGAGTGGTTGTTTTATTATGAGAGTTGCAGTAGTTATATTCTATATACTAAATACAGTAATTTGTATTTGGGTGAGTATTTAGAGCAGGGGGTCTGGGCTATATAGACCCTCTCTATTTCATTAGACTACCTAAAGTGATAGTGACTCTGGCTACTAGTAGCCACTCGTGTTCCTTGCAGGAGGAGGGCATAATTAAAAATGTGTCTATTGCGTCAAATTCTTAGGTAAACTTCAGAATGTCTCACATATGTGATAACTGTATTCCCCCAGCACCATTACTACTTTCTAATGCAGTGCAGTTATAAATCAGCCCTTAAAACACCCCCCACCAATAATGACAGTAAATTCAGCTAAAGAAAGCAGTATATAGCTGTTGTCTATTGTTTGCTATTGTATTAAAACAAATATAATCTTTATAAAACAGTGGCTAGATCACTTAACAATGAGTGTAAAGAAAATCTAATTGTTGTCTGTTTAGTTAATATTTATCATACTTTTTATAATACAGAAAATTATTTAAAGCAACACATCCAATGAAACGCTGGGTGACCTAATTTAAAGTGAGCCTGTCAGGCATTTTAAATCTCTGACAGTAAAATTTCTGCCTGAAGATTTCCTTCCTTGTTAGGAACAGTTTCTTGCTAAGAAAGCATCTGACTTCCTAGACCTTTACCCTAAGAAGTCAGACATGTAGCAACATTGCACTTGTTAGGAATTTTTATTTAATTCTCCCTTTTTGAGAGTTGTGTAAACCACTGCAGACATATTGCAGAGAGTACCTCACGTGGTCATTGGAAGTGTACTTCCCAAGGTCTGAGCTGTGTGAATCCTTTCTTTCTGGAAGTAAGAGATAGCAAGCTTGCAGTAAGAGCATTAAGAGTGATTGGGAATATCTTTTCTGCAGCATACTCAGGGTTTAGCAGATCAGCAACAGTTGGACTTGTGCGATATAGAAATTCCTGGATGAAAAATAGTTCTGATCAGTTAAGTTGTGTTCACTGTATAATCCTTTTTATATTTCACTGGATTGTACTTTTAAAGGTTTAAACTGGCTGGCAGACCCACTATGAGTAACTTGAAATATGTTAATATACAGATTTCAAACTTTTTTCAATTTCTATCATAACAGTCTTTCATTAAGAAAATCCCTTCTCTCAGAAGCATCTGATGATATTTTATGATATCTGGACTACATACTAGTTCTCAGGCAGTGACTTCACTCACATTAAATCTAAACAGGCTTGGTTTCACTGCCCGGAGACAAACAATCAACCTGTAAGTCATGGAATGAGAGATAACATCGGACGCTTCTGAGACAGGTGTTTTTCTCCATGTCATATTCCCTTTAGGTGCTTATACCCAACAAATTATGACTTGCCCTAAGTGCAGCTAATCTAAATCACACAATGCCACTTGCATAATCATTCGTGTAATTAAATGGTGTTGACTAGGGATTTGTAAAATTGGGAGGGAAGGGAGAGTAGTGTGTTATTTACACTTAGTTCTGTATCCGTAAACCTGGCAAAATGCCTTGAAAGCCCAGGTCTGGGCATTTTACAAAATTAAAGAATAATGAACTCCCTGGATGCTGGAGATGTCCACTGGATTTGTTGTGGCTGGCAGCAGGTGGAGAGAGAATGAAGGTTTTGGACAAAGATCCTATAAGTCTCTCAGACTGTAATTTCCAAGTGGTGGAGAAGCAGGGACAAACTGGTAACCATAACTAACACACTACACCCACTTCTTCCTCTGACCAATATCTTAGAGTGGTTTATTCTGTGATCGCACAATGTCATTGTGTGTGGTGCACACTTTAATGGCATTGTGGAATCAGTTAAATGATTAATTACTGCAAGCACTTTCACACTATAAAGTAACCTTATACATTATTGTAAAAGGATAATGCAGTTCTTGCTTAACATGATCTAAACACAAGCGGAATATATTAGTACTAAAATAAACAAAAGGGATTGAAAATTGGTAGCTACTTACAAGATATTCTAGGAAACAAATTTATAAGCAGCAACCTCATCAAAATATATTGCTCCCATCTAAAACAAGATTTCTCTTTAATCAAAACATATTACCACCTGTACTCCATTAATCAGCTTTCATTTCCACATGAAACATGACTTAAAACCAGATGCTTATAAATCAAGATCAACTTATGCACTTTGGTCTATCTGGAGAGCAGTTGACTGAGTAGGAGCTTCATAGGAGTCTTCTAGTTCCCCAGGTTTTGGCTTATATTCAGGGTTAAACGGATTCTCACATTCAAAGTCTATTTCATTCTCGTCTTCATCTTCAACAATAGCCAACTCTGTATTTCTCCTTACCACTTGTACTTCTTCAGTTATGTCTTCTTTATCAGTGGCATCTTTTTTCACCTTTACTTCTTCAAACGCATTTACATCCTCTGTTGGAGAAGTCTTTTCATCTTCTTGACTGACATCCTGCTCATTTACAGCTTGTTCTTCTACATCTTCCTTTTTTCCTTCATTCTCTGTATGTGTCTCTTCATCATGCGATTTCTTCACATTAAAGCCTATTGGAACCTTGAATGATGAGCCTTTTGAAGTTTTATTTTGGGATGGTGTAAATGACTTTTTAATTTTCTCTCTTCTTTCTGGTGACACAATTTTAGTGCTAATCTTGTTCATCTTCTTTTCTATATTTTGACGAGAAAAAGCTTTTTTCAGGCTATCTACTTTCTTTAGGCTAGACCTCTTCATTTTCTCTGCTCTACTGGGCCCTAACTTTTCATCTAAGCTGTCATCATGGCCATCCTCATCATGATTAATTTCATCATCTGAAGATAGGTCAATTGTATGCATGGTTTCCTCCTGTAACTTGTTTGGGTCGGCAAGTTCTTCGATGCCTTCTGTAATGCTAGGAACTGGTGTTTGTTCTTTTACAAAGACACTTGCAGGAATTTCATTTTCTTCCTAAACACAAAAAGGTCTTACATTAGTAAAGTTTAGATTATACACACGTGGAAATACAAATTACATAAGCGATGACTAAGTAAATACTGAGATTAAGTAAAAAATGGCTGTGATCTAAATGTTACACCAATCATCAAGACACAAAGAAGGCAATGTCTTGCCTTTAAACATTTTCCATTTTTAAAAGTTGTTTTCTACTATTACCACCACTTAATAATATTTCATAGTAAAGACAGACCCAAAGAGAATGAGCGGAGGGGCTGCATGACTGAGGGAAGGAATAGTCCCTGGAGAAGGGATTAAAATAAAAAGGGATTTAGCTGATCTTAACAGATTGGAGGTTGGGGTCAGGTGTCCGGGAGGAACTGCATGGGTTGGGACTGTAAGGCCTGGGCGGCATTCTTTCTGGAAAGTCGATGGAGAAAGCAGGTTGTCCCACCTGCCCTCCCTTCATTTTTGTGGTTTCTGGTGGTTATAATGTCCTTTTTATGTCATGGCAGCTTGGCTGGTTAGGTTGTCTTTGGGGATCTGAAAATCTGAGTCAGTTACACAAATGGGAGTCCATCAGCTGGTTTGGGTGCTTCCCCCCTGTTGGTGTCAGTATTTGTCCCCTTGGAACTGTGAGCAGTACCTATCCTCGAGCTGGTTGGTGTGTGGCTGGGGACATGGGAGCAGTTTTTAGCCTTTTCTGGCTGTTGGGCACCCAAAGGCCCCTTCTCGGATCCAATAGTCGTTAAGATTACTTATTTGTATATTATTTTGTTTATTACTTTGGTTACTGTTAATGTTGTTTTGGCTAATAAAAAGGCTGATGTGGCCACTTAAATCCATGTTGCGCAGTCTGTGTGATTATTGGGGTTTTTAACAGAGGGACGTAATGGACAAATCAATCAGTCATGAGCTTTAGGGGTAAGAATGTCTAATGCATACATTCAGGAATTACAGTTTACTTGTCAACTATCCTATATGGTAGTAGGATAAAATGTTTGAAAGGAAACCTATAGTTAGAGATATATATATATAATGAAAGATGCAAACAGGTATCTCTTGAACACTTGAAAAATATAGTCAATCCCATTGTGACTGCTCAAGTAAAAAGCAATTGCAGACAGTACATTTACCAAGCGTACATTATTGAAGTGTAATATGTCAACATTGACCTGGGGGTAATGTCATACATCTAGTGCCATTCTAGTCATTCCACCTACTATTAAAGCCCCAACAATGCTGAATGTATTATTTCCTTTATTTTTCTAGGTTTGTTAGGTCATGGTAGTGGTATAGTGGCAAACAAATGAAACACAACTAGTCTTGGATGCATATTACCTTTACATCCAAGTAGCTTTCACAGTTTATCTTAACTAGGGCATTCTTTCTCTGAGGTGCAGGCCCGCAACACCACCCCCCAGCAACTTATAATACCATCCTAATATCTAAAAGCACATTCACACACACGCACATTCACATCTCTGTATATCTAGTTAACACCAGTAAAGTGCATGCAGTCATGTGAAAAAAGTAAGCATACCTCATGGAAATTGTTTCAACATACTTAAACAGGTAAATATTAGATTTTCATACAGATAAAGTGGATATGCTCAAACAAATGACACAGAATTGACATGGTGTATTCATTTTCATAACTTATATTAATGAAAATGCAGAAATGTCACATGGCAAAAGGAAGTGCATCCCTGCATTTACAACCACCCCTACATTTACAATCCATGAAATCAGAATCAGTTGTTCCAGATTAGGTAATTTATCGTTCAAAATCACCATAAAGCCTCCACCACCCTAATTAATTTACTTACTGGTGATAAAAATAATGTGTTACAGGTGCACTATCCCAATTTAAAAGATAAAAATGTTCCAGCTAGCTACACAAAGAATATTAAATGTCCACATTGCTACACCCTATCAGTACTCTTGGTATTATGAGGGAAGAAAAATACACTATAAATAGGACTTATATTGAGCACTGCTGAGCATGTTCGGCCGACATGAAGCCACCCGATGTACGGCTGATTTCAGCCGATATAGGCTGGAATCAGCCATACCAGCCTGAAGTGAATAGCCGAACAGCGTTCGGCTCACTTCGCTTCAGGTCGGTCGTTCACTCGGCTGCCTACGGAAGCTTAGTGAATAGACCCCATAGTGGTTTTTCACAACTCAAGTTGTCATCCACCCTTGCTGGTGGAGCATCCCTTCAAAGAGATTAAACAAACGGAACTTCTTTTTATGCAGTACAAACACAAACTTCATGCAAGAATTAGTAAAACTACTCAAAAACAAAAATGTAGTACATCATTAAAGATAAACTCTCTTGTTGTGAGACTCTGCCTGAGGCCAGCAATCAAGTATGGAGTTCACAAGTTTATAGTCCCACAGCCAGCCACTCAACAGCTCAACAGTCCTGTCTCAAATGTGTTTCAATGTATCTACATCTTAATTTCATTCTGACCATGTTTGGTCAAATGAAACAGAGTATTAGGCCAAGATAACTATAGAGCTGAGATGTTGGAATTGAGGTGTCCAACTAAAATGTTGTGGGGGATTCGAGCAGTTCATGCAAGGAAACCCACAAACATCTTGTGGCTGAAAGAATTTTGCATGGTGGGGTGGTACAAATTCCACCAAGCTGATGTGAGAGACTGGTGGGCAATTATGCAGATTGCCTACAAGAAGCCATTTTTGCTAATGGGGCAATACCAACTTTTGAGACCAAGGGTGTAGTTACTTTTCCACAGTACACCATTATATTGATATTTTTGTTGAATAAATGTATTAAAACAGTAAAATGTTTCTTGTATTTTAACCACTTGCTGTCCGGAGCAATTTCATACTATTTGCGCACACACCATAAAATATGAATTTTTGGCAAATAAAAGGTTAAAACCCCCAAACTGTTAAATATTTTCTGAAAGCAGAGGCCCTGTAGAATATAACAATGCAAGTTGCAATTTTTTATGCCGTCTGGTATTTGCACAAATGTTTATCAAAGCAGTATTTTTAGATAAAATACACTAAAATGAAATTTAGTGCACAGAAACAGAATATACGACCCGATTGCAGTAAAATATAAAAGATGGGGTCATCATAGACACCAAACCTGTCAAGCTTTAAAATTGCGTGCGCCCGCAAAAATTGCAAAACAAATACCATACCCCAAATTTTCCATAGGTGATGCTTTAAAAGCTTTTACCACTCACCAGTTTAGTGTGATCAGTGAATAATAAGATAAGAAGCCCCCTATGTGATAGCAAAGAGGATGTGACAGGTCCTCTTTATGGAGACATCAGGTGTATATAGCCCTTGGACCACTTGTATGTAAACAGGCATCATTGCCTGCTTGTAGCTTGTGACAGTTTCCCGCTCGCGCATGCCATGCACTAGTGGGCGGGGCTAACAGGCCGTCCTTAAACTGCCCTTTACATCCAAGAGGCTGCCGCCCAGCCGTTTATTTACAATGGCCGAACGGGTAGCAGTTAAAAGCTTTTACTATTCTTTAGTGTAGTGTTTAGAGTGATTGATGGCCCCGGAAATATTGCTCCCACTCCGACGTTGGCGGCGATATGTAACATGTGTGGAGCAAGTTTTGTATAGGCGCACCTGATGTGTGTTTGTGCTTGTATGTGCGTGTACATGGAGCAAATGTTTTTAAAACTTTTTTTGCATTTTTTTTATATGTAGCCCCCTATATAATAGCAAATATGATGTGACAGGTACTCTTTATGGAGACAATAGGGGTCTTTCAGTTCCCTAATGTCACTTTGGGACCCCAAAGAAGCTCATGAAGCAGCAATCTGCTTCACCAGCTTCTTCTCCTGGCTCTAAGAGTCGGAGAATGTGCACAGTGACACCGGAAGTGAAGTAATACACATCACCTCCGGTTCCAGTGATCGGAGGTGAGAACAGCGGCTAGAAGCTTACTGACCTCCCTCCGATTGATGTAGGGAAACCCATCGCAGCTGTGTTATTGGTATAATCTCTTCAAGGGGCGGGTGTTTAAAAGTGGCCATCCACTAGAAGGGGATATACAGGTATAGGTAACTGGAGTATAATTACTGGACTAGCAATAGGGGTTAAACTCCCTACCATCAGATGAAATAAAAAAGCCATTTAGAGTCATGACATTTTTTCCAGAAACATCAGCAAGTCCAGTTTTGTATTTACTACTACAATTTAATGCCAAGAGCAACCTCCCTGTTCATGTGAACAGAGGGTGGAGGGGGTAGGATATACCCATGGCTGGAAGCACTTAGAATAATGAGAAAAAATAGTGACCTTGGCTAAATTCTAATGCTGGTCTTAGCAACCAGGATTTGTAAAGATGAAATCAGGTCTATTCACAAAAGGGTGAAGAGTTTGGAGAAGGCAGGAGAAGTGACCAATCTCGGAGAACATAGCTGATTTGGAAAAGTTCTCCAATTCAGCTCAGTTTCCAGTTCAGCTATGTTGTCCTAGATTGTTCACTTTTCCTCCTTCCCTCTCCAAACTCTTCACCCTTTTGTGAATAGCCCTGTGGATTTTTGCACCCTTTCTCCACTTTTCTACCAATCACCCCCTGCTTCCCTATTTGCCTGCTGGTGTAAAGTGAAGACGTCCTGTGTAAGCCAAGTTGATTTTGTCTAGACATCCATAAGGTTTAGGACCTTACCCCTGCCCCCAACTGACAGCATCAGGTGCAACCGGACACTTTAACTTGAATTTTAGCAAGATTCAGAAAATTTAAGCTGTGTGTGGCCCTGCTAGCACCACCTGGATTGACAAAAGTTTGTTATGCAATCCTCTTTTGCTAAAGGAACTGGGTGGAAAATTGTCAGCCGAACAGTGACTGCAGTCACTGTAGGTATTTCTTGCAGCGAGTGCCCACACAACACAATAGACTGACAGGGGAGAATCTTTTAGATTTTTTTTTGTTCAGCCTGTAGTCTAAATGAAAGAAATCAATAACTGTATGGCCATCTTAAGGCACCCATCGCTGCACTGTGAGAGAA